TTTAAACCTGCTGCCCATTAATTTCATTTGGTGACCCCAGTTCTTGTATTATGGGAACAAGTAAATAACTTTTCCTTATTCACTTTCTCCACATCACTCATGATTTTATATACCTCTATCATATCCCCCCTTAGTCTCCTCTTTTCTAAGCTGAAAAGTCCTAGCCTCTTTAATCTCTCCTCATATGGGACCCGTTCCAAACCCCTAATCATTTTAGTTGCCCTTTTCTGAACTTTTTCTAGTGCCAGTATATCTTTTTTGAAATGAGGAGACCACATCTGTACGCAGTATTCAAGATGTGGGTGTACCATGGATTTATATAAGGGCAATAAGATATTCTCCGTCTTATTCTCTATCCCCTTTTTAATGATTCCTAACACCCAGTTTGCTTTTTTGACTGCCGCTGCACACTGCGTGGATGTCTTCAGAGAACTATCCATGATGACTCCAAGATCTTTTTCCTGATTAGTTGTAGCTAAATTAGCCCCCATCATATTGTATGTATTGTATGTATAGTTGGGGTTATTTTTCCCAATGTGCATTACTTTACATTTATCCACATTAAATTTCATTTGCCATTTTGTTGCCCAATCACTTAGTTTTGTGAGATCTTTTTGAAGTTCTTCACAGTCTGCTTTGGTCTTAACTATCTTGAGCAGTTTAGTATCATCTGCAAACTTTTCCACCTCACTTTTTACCCCTTTCTCCAGATCATTTGTGAGTAAGTTGAATAGGATTGGTCCGAGGACTGACCCTAGGGGAACACCACTAGTTACCCCTCTCCTTTCTGAAAATTTACCATTTATTCCTACCCTTTGTTCCCTATCTTTTAACCAGTTCTCAATCCATGAAAGGATCTTCCTTCTTATCCCATGACAACTTAATTTACGTAAGAGCCTTTGGTAAGGGACTGTGTCAAAGGCTTTCTGGAAATCTAAGTACACTATGTCCACTGGATCCTAATCTAAGTACACTTGTCCACATGTTTGTTGACCCCTTCAAAGAACTCTAATAGATTAGTAAGACATGATTTCCCTTTACAGAAACCATGTTGACTTTTGCCCAACAATTTATGTTCTTCTATGTGTCTGACAATTTTATTCTTTATGATTGTTTCAACTAATTTGCCGGGTACTGACGTTAGACTTACTGATCTGTAATTACCGGGATCACCTATAGAATCCTTTTAAAATATTGGTGTTAAATTATCTATCTTCCAGTCATTGGGTACAGAAGCCGATTTAAAGGACAGTTTACAAACCATAGTTAGTAGTTCCACAATTTCACATTTGAGTTCTTTCAGAACTCTTGGGTGAATGCCATCTGGTCCCGGTGACTTGTTACTGTTAAGTTTATCAATTAATTCCAAAACCTCCTCTAGTGACACCTCAATCTGTGACAATTCCTCAGATTTGTCACCTACAAAAGCCGGCTCAGGTTTGGGAATCTCCCTAACATCCTCAGCCGTGAAGACTCAAGCAAAGAATTCGTTTAGTTTCTCCACAATGACTTTATTGTCTTTAAGAGCTCCTTTTCTATCTTGATCGTCCAGGGGCCCCACTGGTTGTTTAGCAGGCTTCCTGCTTCTGATATACTTAAAAAACAATTTGTTATTACCTTGGAGTTTTTGGCTAGCTGTTCTTCCAACTCCTTTTTGGCTTTTCTTATTACATTTTTACACTTAATTTGGCAGTGTTTATGCTCCTTTCTATTTACCTCACCAGGCTTTGACTTCCACTTTTTAAAAGATGCCTTTTTATCTCCCACAGCTTCTTTTACATGGTTCTTAAGCTACGGTGGCTCTTTTTTAGTTCCTTTACTGTGTTTTTTAATTTGGGGTATACATTTAAGTTGGGCCTCTATTATGGTATCTTTGAAAAGTGTCCATGCAGCTTGCAGGGATTTCACTCTAGACACTGTACCTTTTAATTTCTGTTTAACTAACCCCCTCATTTTTGCATAGTTCCCCTTTCTGAAGTTGGACCTCTTGGACCAGATCTTGTGCGCCACTCAGGACTAAATCGAGAATGGCCTCTCCCCTTGTGGGTTCCTGTACCAGCTGCTCCAAGAAGCAGTCATTTAAAGTATCGAGAAATTTTGTCTCTGCATTTTGTCCTGAGGTGACATGTTCCCAGTCAATATGGGGATAATTGGAATCCCCCACTATTATTGATTTCTTAATTTTGATAGCCTCTCTAATCTCCCTTATCATTTCATCGTCACGATCACTGTCCTGATCAGGTGGTCGATAATAGATCCCTAACGTTATATTCTTATTAGAGCATGAAATTACTATCCATAGAGATTCTATGGAACATGTGGATTCATGTAAGATTTTTACTTCATTTGATTCTACATTTCCTTTCACATATAGTGCCACTCCCCACCTCGCACGACCTGTTCTGTCCTTCTGATATATTTTGTACCCCGGAATGATTGTGTCCCATTGATTGTCCTCACTCCACCAGGTTTCTGTGATGCCTATTATATCAATATCCTCCTTTAACACGAGGCACTCTAGTTCACCCATCTTATTATTTAGACTTCTAGCTTTTGTGTACAAGTACTTTAAAAACTTGTCAGTTTATTTATCTGCCCTTTTCTGATGTGTCGGATTCTTTTTTATGTGAATGTTTCTTGTCTGATCTGGCCCCTACTTTATCCTCTTCCATCCTCTCCTCCTGACTAAAACCTAGAGAATCTCTATCAATAGACTCTCCTCTAAGAGAAGTCTCTGTCCGATCCACGTGCTCCTCTGCAGCAGTCGGCTTTCCCCCATCTCTTAGTTTAAAAACTGCTCTGCAACTTTTTTAATGTTAAGTGCCAGCAGTCTGGGTCCACTTTGGTTTAGGTGGAGCCCATCCCTCCTGTATAGGTTCCCCCTATCCCAAAAGTTTCCCCAGTTCCTAATAAATCTAAACCCCTCCTCTCTACACCATCTGGCACTATGAGGACGGGGTAGTTTAAAACTGTCAGGTGTCTCTTCCCTACCCCAAACCCTCCCTTTTCAATCTCCATCTGAGGCTTCTTTTATTTTCTTTGTTTCCTCCATTAATGTATTCCTTCCACCTGTTTTCTCTATACCTCTGAAGAATCTGTTATTCCAATAAATGGCTGGAGTAAAGAACTGAGTCAAACTGGCCTGCCTGCCACTCTTTGCATCTCCTTTGTGTGCAGTGACTTTACTAAAAGTGTTGAGCAAGTGCAGCTGTGTCCAATCCCATTTGTTAAATATCCTCTGGTGAAATAAACGTGCCTATGGAGAAAGTTCTCCAGGAATCAACAAACATGGACGAGTTCATTTCCTTTTTCCTTTTGTTTGCAAAGCATATCTTAATTAAATAGGCATTTTGTTCCACTGGTTTTGTTCATAATTTATTTGTATCTTGCTGTAGTATCTGTCAACTTGTTTAAGCAAAAATAAAAATACAACATTTAATAAAGGGAAAGAGCATTACAATGAAGGAGAGAAGGTAAGAGGTCTTTCACTGGCTTCTACAGGTGGGTAGAATACTGCAATAACAGTTTCAGCAAGTACTCAAATTTGTTAATGAATTTTCCTTGACCACACTAGCAGACCTAGTCTGTTTATTTTCTACAATGCTTTTCTGTTCCTTTCCACACGTTTGTGCAATCTCAAGCTTTCCTGGCACCAATAGTATCAGAAAGCAAATGGCGAGGTCTTGTATGTGACGAATCACAAAAACCAAATTGTAAACAAGTATTCACTCCAGAATTGCTCATGCTTTCCTCATCTAATCAGGGAACAGGAAAAGCACCACATGACTTATCTGACCAGTTACAAACAATCAACACAGTTCAATAATGTGATGGGGTGTGTCAATGCCGCACTGGGCAAGCAGGGGTTAACCAGTCACTTTTGGCCCAAGAGGCCAGGCCTTCTCACCTCTGCTGCACATGCTCCAGTTGGAGGGAGCAGATAAAAGGGAACAGCTCTCTCCAGTCCTGGCTGGTGGAGGAGGAAGACGGACATGCGTTGCCAGCTCCCGCTGAGGTACCACCAGCCTTCCAGATTACGGAAGCAAGTCTCCCTGACTAGATGACGAGGGATCCCCAACTATGAAGGCCGACGGAGATGCCAAGCCTCTGCCCGGGAAGACAAGCCCAAAGTGGACTTAGAGGTAGGAAGTGACCGAGGGAATATATTGGGAGCTGATACTTGAATCCTGAAGAGGGAGACTACAGGCTCCACAGGGCCCTGGGTTGGAACCTGGTGGAGCAGGGTGGGCTCGGCACTGGCAGGTGGCTATTACCGCTGGAGACCCCAGCTATGGACTGGTTACTCTGCCCCACCCAAGGGGCTGAAGGCCTGTTTGTGATTGTTTGCCCAAGCCAGGAGGCTCAGGAGCTATAGACGGTTTGCCTGTTCAGCCCCTCACTGTGGGCCAGAGTCCCTGATTGTGTTTGTCTGGCCCAGCTGAGAGTCCTGATGACTGTGTGGCGGAGTGTATCAGCCCCACACTGGGCAAGCGGAGGCACCCAATGGATGCGCAGAACCCCATGACAAATAGTGAATTTTAAAGATACGCTGAAAACTGTTCACAACCTAGGTTAAAAAGAACTGTGAAACAATTCATTAAATAGTGTTGAACAGATGTTACAAGATATTGTGCTCTGCTAGTGGATGGTCCACAAGCAGAAAAAGAGGCTAAATTGACTGGATTCATGATTCAGTATAAATTATTCATTGAGCACTGCTCTTTTCTGTGCTCTATAGAATAAAATCTGTTCGATTTTCTCTGTGTCACACTATCATTTCCATTTGCTTTCCCAGGTTATGTGTGTGTATTAGACAAAACAATGACATCAGAGCCCTTTCTATTAATTAAAAAGAAATGCATGCTCACAAGTCAGGCCGTAGGATTTCCCTCCTGCCCCAAACAGCTGGAACCTGGTTTCCATTATTGCTTTTATTATAAACCAACAGGTTTTGCAGCTCTTCTCTCACACCCCCGCCCTACATTACTGCAATGAGTCATTCAGATCACCAGTTTCTCAATACTTAAAGTACTTGTTTCATCTTCTTCATTTGAACCAAAATATCCAGGCAGGTCAATCATCCATTGCTCCGATTCTGTTAAGCCAAAAGAATTATTATCATAAAAGGCAAATTCAGGGTCTGTGGGGAAGCTCTGGCATTTGTCCTTTCTGTACTGGACAGGGCTTAGAGCACTGCCTCGCCGGTAATTATCTTTCAGAGTTGAGATGGGTTCTTTCCTCAAAACCCCTCGATGGTTTGGTGAAGAGCCCCTCCTGTTTCTATTTGGCTCTGGTTTGTCAGCTCCTGCTACTTGGCCTGCAGGCTGACGGTCACTGATCAGATCCGGCCTCCCCACTGGAGGGCCCCCTTTGTGGCGGTATTTTGTGCCATAGCTCAGTGGCTCACCAGCTAACAGAGTGCAATGAGACTGGTCAAACTTTTCGGAACTTGGATCAGCATCTTTACATGTCGGCCGGGACTTGTCTTCCAGTGCCTGACCCCACGTTCTGGTCCTGGCACTATAAAGAGGAATCTGCCGTGAGGTAAGAGTGGACATGCTCCGTTCCCTATAGGGCCTGACCTTTTTAGTTTCATGGAAACTGGCTGTTCTTCTGAACTGTGGGTTTCTGTGACAGCCTTTCTCTAACGGCTCCCCTTTGTTATCTTGGTATTTCAGGTGAGCTCGTCTAATGAGGGTCTGACTAGGGCTTGTTACAGGATTGGCCTGTGACAGTACAGAGTCCACCCTAGAATTAGATTTTTCCCTAGGGAATTTGAGATGACTGACTGGCTGATCCAGAAATGGAGATTTGATCCTGAATTTGTGTGCAGCAGCCTCCTCTTGGTTTTCTGTGCCCAGGGGAAGCACAGCCGTGGCATCAATAACAGTGTCAGTCAGAGGCGTCTGAGATACGTGATACACCTTTGTGGTTTCAGTCAGGCCTTTCTTCTTCATCTCTTTCAGCTGCTGCTGTGCAAGGCGATAGCTGAAAATTGGAGGGATTATTTTTTGAGCATTTGACTGAAAATTGTCACTGACAGAGGTGTCCTCTTCTTGAGCAAACTGAAGGCTCCTCCTACAGGTCAAAGGTATGTTAACAGGCTCTCCGGCTTGCACTCGAGGCGCTTCGCTGCCCGCGGAAAAGCTCTCCCGCTGCGTGCCAGCTTGACAGATGTTCTCTTCGTCGGAGTTCTTGTGGACACTGGGCGAATGGACAGAGTTACAGCGCACAGAGGTGCTGCACTTCTGAGCTCTGCAGAGCTTCCTCCACAGGGTGATGAGAACAGTGGCTAGGATTATGAACAAGCACAAGGAGATGCCAGTGATGGTGACTATATTATTAGCTTTCTGATCCTCTTGGTGCTGTACAGAAGGAGGGGTGGTAGGCTTTATAACTGTAACAAAGAGTGAACACATTCTGTTATCCAAGTTGCATTTTCATTGGACATTTGGAGTTTTAGTAAGATATTTTACAATTAAAAAAAAGAAAATCAATGAATAAAATACATTAAATTGTCTACTTGCCAGCATGTCCTTAGCTCACATCTGTCTTCTTCAGATAAAAGAGGATAAACCTTGATTTGCAGCAGCAAATCCACCTACTTTATATGGAGGGCTCTGCAGACCTGTCTACCTTTTAAACTTCATTTGCTACCTACTTCTGCTAGTCTCACCTCTTTTCATGATGCCAGAAGAATATTTTATACACCTGAGCCTAATGGCTTTTGTTAGGTTTGAGTTTCGCAAATCCAGTGGGAAGCTTTTTGCAAGAGTTGGTAGGGTTTCTATGAAAGGAGCAAGCACATAGAGGCAGTGTGATCAGGTGGAGGGGGTGTCAGGCTCTGCCACTGGTCTGCTAGCTGACCTTGGGCAAGCCACGTCACTACCAGTGCCTCAGTTTCCCCATCTGTAAAATAGGGATAAAGATACTTGCTGTTTTTGGAACAGCACTTGGAAATCTACAGATGAAAAGTGCTATCCAGGAGTTAACAATTTGTTATTGGAATTGATATATTAGGTCAGCCTAGTGGTTAGGGTAAACCAGCAATTAAAATTATTTTTCAACTGATTTTAGGGTTTGTGAAAGGTATTTGTTCCCCTCGTGCCAGGCAGATCCCCAATGTGAAAGGTAAGTGGCTTGACAGCCCTGAGGTCTGGAGAGAAGATGGACAGCATAAGCAGTGGCAGCACAAGTTTCCCCACGTTGCCCTGAGAATGTTTCTCCAACTCTCACCCAGTGTTACACCTCTGGGAGTCAGACAACAGAGTATTCTCCATGTCCATTCAGTTATGGGCTAAGAAGGGGTCTTGGGTTTTTTGTTATTGATATTTGTCTGTTATGCACTGGAGAGGGACTTTCAAGAGAAATCCTGGTAACAATACTTTGCACAGCTATAGTGCATGTTATGAGGGTCTCAAAGCATTTTACAAACATTAATTAAGTCTCACAGCACACCAGGACAAGTATCATACCCATGTTACCAAAGAATAAACCAAGGCGCAGAGAGATTGAGTGATTTTGCCCATGGTCACCAGCACATCAATCATAGTCATAGAACCCCGAAATCCTGGCTCCAAATCTACTTTTCTAGCCATTAGACAATACTCCTTTTCTAATTTCTATCTATCTTAGCTTTTTATTTAGTGCCTGTTACCATGGTGTCCAAACACTAATTTCTTATAGGCCACTAAACAGTTTTCTGATGGTAGTTATGTTCCATTGCTACTGCCCAGACCTGGATAGAAATCAGTGATCTAAAAGTGAAAGGCTAAGGCATCCTTTTACCAGTCCCTCAGGCCATCCAGTATCCACTCTACACATTTACATGTATGTTATGGAGTGTCCACCATATACATTCCCAGAATGCTTTTCAGTGTTCCACAACAACTGCTCAACTAACTGCAGTGTAGATGCAGAATTCATAGCTGCAGTCACCAAACCACATGTATACTCCAGAATTCAGGAACAGACTTTTTCCTTCCCACGCCCTTTGTAAAATGCCACCTTGATAATCAGCTTGTTATTTATACAGGTCTGTCGCATCTTACGCGCATTTAACATGTGCGAATTCAGCTTTACGCGGTCAGCAAAAACAAAACAAAAAACAACAAAAAAGAGAAAAATAACAATTTAAATACTGTTCCTGTAGTGCGGGCGATTCCGCCCGCCATTACACTCAATGTAATTTTGACTATACGCGGTTTTCACTTTACACGCTGACCGTGGAACGTAGCCCCAGCGTAAGATGAGACAGACCTGTACATATTTTTGGCTCAACAGATCCATACGGAATGCAACTGCAGTGTGGCATGTCATTCATTCAGGAAGTCTGGCAGTTCGTTTAATAGATAACATGTACATTCATTTCCAGAGTAATGTCAAAAAAGCTGCACTCAGTTGGTCACTAGAGGCTCACTGTCCAAGTAGCACTACAAAATTCTTAGAGTCACACAGTGGGAGGTGTGGGGAAAGATGATTCCATCAGAAGAGAAACAAGACCAGAATTTGGCCAAGTGTGGCTGTGGCTGTGATTGAAACCCATGGAGTTACTCCTGATTTATACCAGTGGAAAAGAGAAAAGAATCTGGATCTGAATGTTTTAGTTATTCATTTTTCCTTCTCTCCTTATTTTCTTTTCTCACTCCTGCTTGTTGATCTTTTTTATTTATTTCTACTTCTCCTCTTCAGCCCTTCCACCAGGGTTCCAACCCTCTGTGCTGGCTTCTGTTACTCGGCCACTTGCTCCATCTACTGGACTAAAGAATACAAATATAATAATGCTGAAACAGACTCTCCTAGATGGACCAGAGACATAGCAGAGGATGGTCTGATGCTATTATTTACAGCACAAGGTCAGCAGTACCCAGAGCTGGAGCACAATGTGAAAACATCTTTTAAATTCTATACAAGATTAAATAATTCAGGCATAATTCTGTAGTGGCATAAATCTGACTTTGGTGCAGGAAGATCAGAAAACAGGTGTAAGGGTAACTTGGCAGGGAGGCAGTAAGCCAGTGTAACTTGCACAGCTGAGACATTCTGTGGGTATGCAAAATGGGTGCACATTGATTTATGCACAGAGGGGAAGAGTGTAGCAGGAACAATATTTCAGTGTTGATAATGCAAAGTACTGCACATTGGAAAACATAATCCCAACTATACATATAAAATGATGGGGTCTAAATTAGCTGTTACCACTCAAGAAAGAGATCTTGGAGTCATTGTGGATAGTTCTCTGAAAACATCCACTCAATGTACAGTGGCAGTCAAAAAAGCAAACAGAATGTTGGAAATCATTCAGAAAGGGATAGATAATAAGACAGAAAATATCATATTGCCTCTATATAAATCCATCGTACACCCACATCTTGAATACTGCATGCAGATGCGGTCACCCCATCTCAAAAAAGATATATTGGAATTGGAAAAGGTTCAAAAAAGGGCAACAAAAATTATTAGGGGTATGAAACGACTACCACATGAGGAGAGATTAATAAGACTGGGACTTTTCAGCTTGGAAAAAAGATGACTGAGGGGGGGATATGATAGAGGTCTACAAAATCATGACTGGTGTGGAGAAAGTAAATAAGGAAGTGTTATTTACTCCTTCTCATAACACAAGAACTAGGGGTCACCAAATGAAATTAATAGGCAGCAGGTTTAAAACAAACAAAAGGAAGTATTTCTTCACACAACGCACAGTCAACCTGTGGAACTCCTTGCCAGAGGATGTTGTGAAGGCCAAGACTATAACAGAGTTCAAAAAAGAACTAGATAAGTTCATGAAGGATAGGTCCATCAATGGCTATTAGCCAGGATGGACAGGGATGGTGTCCCTAGCCTCTGTTTGGCAGAAGCTGGGAATGGGCAACTGGGGATGGATCACTTGATGATTATCTGTTCTATTCATTCCCTCTGGGGCATCTGGCATTGGCCACTGTTGGAAGACAGGATACTGGGCTAGATAGACCTTTGGTCAGACCCAGTATTATGTTCTAAGGGAAGTGTAGCAGAAGACTGTTACACTTGGGAGAGTGGGAGTCAATAATGTGGGTTTGCAGGCCCAGATAAAAATGCTAAGGGCTGATGGACGGGAAGAACTCAGCACCCAACAGCACCAGACTCCATATGGCTATACATATGGTTAATATATTCTCAATCTGTTCCACACAAACTTCCGGTTTTATCGTATTTGAAATACATTTTCATTATTGGCATTATTTTTCATATATATTTTGAAATACATTAAAAATCTCTCTCCTCTGTTCAGAAGCTAGCGATAAAGCCGGACTGTCTGTGTGACTCTTTACTGGCTTCCTTTGCGTGAGCAACTGTGACAGACTGAGCCAGCCCAGATTCATCCCTATTGTGACCAGTGACCTCTCCCCCAGCCCATCCCCAGTACTCCCTTCCTTGCTGGCAGATGTGATGCCAATGTGGAATCCACCTCCATCGTATGAGTGTCACTGGACCAGCCATGCTGCCTATATCTCTCTATCCCCAGCAAACACACAGACGGACAGTACTGCATGGGTTTCCATCAGCCAGTTGGTGGAATTTACTCCAGGGATCCTGGCCACAATGTAGTCAGTGGGAGTTTTCCATTGACCTGAATGTGGCCAGGATTTCATCCCCAGTGAATAAGAAGTCACAAAGACTGGTTTAAATGCTTTAGTTTCTCAAACCTATTATAATAACATGCATTTTGTTTTCTCCAGAGAAAGCAGACACATGTCAAGGAGAAAAGCTTTAAAGAAAGCAGGACCACATACTAGAACATTCCTCTAGAGAGCACAGCGAAGTCTCTTTTGGTGTCCCAACACAGCCTGGTTTTGCTGGCAGCGATGTGAGACATTCTCTGTGTCGCTCACGGACTCCATCCCCACAGGTCACGCTGCAAGGACTCCAGGGCTGCCACAGGCTCCATGTTTCTGTGGATACATGAAATCAGAGCAATGAGGAATGCAGCCAGACTCATTTCATCTTACAGCAAAGCTTTCAACTATCCCTCCTTTATATAAAAACTAATCAACCCCAACTCTGCAATTATAACACTGCAAAGCAAACGGCTACTGGGGCCTATGCCTGCTCCCATCGGAGTCAGGGGCAATGCTTCCATCGCCTCCAATGGCAGCAGGATTGCACTCCTAGTCTGTTAACTAAGGCCAGCAGGATATGCCTTGTACAACAACAAATAGAAATGAATCCACAAGTCTTTCTAATGTCTTATCAGTTTAGGCATTTATAGGGCCCGATTCCTATCTTGTGTACGCAGATTTTACATTAGCATCACTATTGATTTCAGTGGGGTTACCCTGATTTATACTGCTGGGAGAGGAGGCTGAGGCCCAGAGGGACTATTGAAAAAGCAGTGTTGGTTTCTCTCCTATTATCTTCATAGCACACAGCGTTTTAGAGGTCCTAATCTTTTATTGTTTGAGGGGGCTCTCAATAAGGAGTATTAGGATGAAAATTTAAGTTTTTTTTAAGGGGGCAGGGTTCAAGGCGTAATGCATTTTCGTTATTTTAAATGCAACAAAAGCAGTTTTTTGTTTGAATTTCAACAGCCTCTTGCTGTGTTCATAACTCAAACTTTACAGCACTGAGAATCCAGAAGCTGAAAGTGACCATGCCTGCCAACTTTTGAATGCTATAAATAACATTTTGAAAGAAAAATAGAACCACACCCTTAAACTCCAATAAAATTCATTAGACCTGGTGCGATTTTTTTGGAGAGACAGAACAATGTGTGATAGATATCTTGGGATTGTCCCCATTAAATATTATTAGTTGGCTTATAGGAACTGATTTGAAATGGACCAGAAACAAAACCATTAAACTGACTATTTTCATTATCTAGGAGGGGTAAAATGCAAAAAGTAAAACCACATAAATGATGGAAAAGTAAATTGGTTTTTTTTTTAATTCTCTCTCTTTAATAATTATGGTGTTGCTATTACTTATACAGGTCATGAAATTTGTTTTTAATTACATCAATCTTAACCTCATAGTGTCCCGTGACTTTTGCTTTAACCCCTGACTCATGAACTATTTACACAAATCTAAAGAATTAAAGAATGTGGTTGTATAACAGAGACGGAGGTTATGGTACATTAGGTGTGGTATTGTTCATGCTGTGTTATTACTTGCAAAGGACCAAAGGGAAAAAATGAAACTGTATTTAAATATGAGGATTTTAACTGCTTTGGGCCCCAATCCTGCAAATACTTGCAAACATGCCAACATCAGTAAATTTACACAGGTGAGTAGTCCTGTTGAACTCATGGGATTACTTACATGCTTGAAGTTACTTACATGCATAAATGATTGCAGGATTGGAGCCTCAGGTTATCAGTTTACTCTCTTTTATATGCCTCTGTGACAAGTGTGTCACACATGTGTGTTAGATACACCTTGGTTTTACCCGTTAATCTCATTCAGATATAGGACCAGATACTGCAAGGTGCTGAGCTCCCCAATTGTTGTTCACTTTAGTAGGAGATGAGGGTGCTGGGCAGATAACATGATCAGGCTCAGAGACTAAATAAAATACACACAATTTAAATCAAAGATATTTTCTAATCTCAGGCCCTGTCCTGTCAGGTACCAATTCGCCTCATCTCTGCAATGACTTCAGTAGGAGCTGAGAGCGCACAACTCCTTACAGAAGATACTTGGGTCTGAATCTACAAAAGGATTGGGGTATTGCAACGCTGCTCTTCACAACACTCTACTTTTAGGCACCTAGAAAATCACAGGAAGCATAACGTAATCTGAAAAACCTGAGTTAGGTGCCCAGGTTCCCTGTACAATGAACTGGGAGAGACAGACACCTTGGAATACAATCCACAAAGGCCAGCATGCAAGGCAAGGAGCTGCCTATGGTAGCTAATGGGAAATGCTGACAAGATGGGGGTATCCTAACCCCCTCCCCTCTCATGGAGTTAGATGCCTAATTCCAGGCACCTATTTCTGCTGGCGTTCCCAAACAGGAACCCCTCTCCTGGAGTCAGGTGGGTTTGGCGTCTAAGCTGCTGCTTGCCAGAATGAGTTTGGTGCCTGCCTCATGCCACACAAGATGGCTTGAGGAGGTGGTGGTACTGGTGCCACCCACCTTGCTGCCTTTAGCCCCATGGTGAGCGCACTTACCTGGGATGTGGAAGACACAGGTTCAATTCTCCCTCTGTCTGAGAACACTTTTGAACAGAGGTCTTCCTCCATCTCTTGGGAACCTGCTCTAACCACCGAGCTAGGGGCTATTCTGATGTCAGGTCCCCTCAGTTTCTCCTATTGAAGCTCTTCCATTGTATGTAAATGCTTAAACAGGCATTGGGCCAGAGACAGAATGAGTCTAGAGTCTTGTGGATAGGGCACTCACCTGGGAGGGGGAACCCCCAACAGCCACCACCCCCCAATGACTAATTAATCATTTATACAAAGTGGAACAGCTTCAACAGGAGAGATTGAGGGAGTCCCCCCATAGGACCGTCCCATAGCTCAGTGGTTAAAGCACTCTCATGGGAGACCTCTGTGCAAATCATTTCTCCCCCATAGGCAGAGGGAGGAATTGAACTTGTATCTCCTCTAGCCAGGCTGAGTGCTCTAACCAGTGGGCTAAAAGTTACAAGGTGGGGAGGCACTGGCACCACCATCTTCTCCAGCCAGATTTTGAATGGGACCTGTCTACCAGATTGGGCCCTATGAGTGAGAGAGTTGGAGAAACACCTATCTTTCCCCCAATTTATGAATCACTCTGGGGCTTAGACATGAGATATCTGTACACACACCTAGAGTGGGGCAGCTGTACACATAACCAGAGGTAGAAACTTAGGTGGTAGGGAACTTTTACAGCAGAAATTTAGGAATCAAGTGAGTTAGACACCTACAGGTTAGGTAGCAGCCTAGTGGGATTTTCGTGAACCACAGTGAAGCCTAAAACCAGGGCTTAGGCACCTAAGTCTGGGGTTCAGGCTCCTAAGTACCTTTGTGGCTCTGGGCCTAAGCACCTTACAGGTTTGGAGCTCACAATAATCAAAAAGTCTCTCATGGGAGGAAATTACCCAGCTTCTGTGAAAGATAACAGTTTAAGCTTCTGAATCTTTCTCTGCAATCTACTAGAATTAAAAAAAAATAAAGCACAGCTCATTTTTCTCTATGGACACAAAATCATTAAAGACAAATGGATCTAAAGAGCCAGGTGAAAATCTTTACTACAGATGTAGAAGGCACAGATTGTAAACTAACTGTTAAATGTGAAATTTTAATGTAAAATTGGGGAGCCTATCAACAGGGCTGAATTGCGGCGGCAATTCAGCGGGAGGTCCTTCGTTCCGAGCAGGAGTGAGGGACCGTCTGCCGAATTGCCGCCGAACAGCTGGACGTGCCGCTCCTCTCCGAAGTGGCCGCCCCAAGCACCTGCTTGGTAAGCTGGTGCCTGCAGCCGGCCCTGCCTATCAACATGCAGGTATTTAACTGATGAGTTAGACAATTTGAAACATTGGCAATTCGGGACTCATGAAAAACAAACACAAGTGAGTGACTGTGTTAATTGTTGATTTGTGTAGCATCTCTCTCCAATTGTGTGTGTTTCATTCTCACTATGCAATGGGACACCTTAATATAGCATGTTATCCAACAAAACAGTCAACTCAGATTAATTTTTTCCCCCAAAAGGACCCCTCTAAAAATTCCACATCCAGTGCTCTTGCAAAGTTATTGCAAGAAGTTAAGGGCTGTCCATTTTAGTACATCACATCAGATGTATACAAAACTTAACTGGAATATGGAGATTAAGGACCTGCTCCTTCTCTTATTGATGTAAATGGGAGCAGGATTGGGCCCTAAGAGACTTGTAAAGCAGGCATAGTTTTGTAATAAGGGAGCAGTCTTGCACATAAGATGATCGCTTTTCTAATGCTGTCATATCTGGTTACTTTGAATCCATCTGCAAATTCTATTTTTATCCCAATTAAAACCACATCAGATAAATGTGTCAGATATGGATTCAGGTATAAAACTAGTTGGTTCTCAGATCTTCCTAGGGATTAGAACACTCACAGAATAAGGGGGTCTGACTAATATAATCTTATTTACACAGTGACCTGGTGGAACAAATTTGGATGGAACTTTATCTGTCTCATCCTTTCCCTAGATCCTGCTCTTCTGCTCCCTTCCCTTGGTAACTACTGCCCCTTCTTATGGTGGCTCTCCCTCTGTTCCTTTCACCCTTCTTTGGTAGCAGCTGTACTCTCAAGGTGCTACTAAACACCTTCTCCTTACCCCTTTTTATTGCTCACTAAGAACACTAGGGATCAAAATTCAGCCCTGATGTAAGAAAGCACAACTCTCATTGAGGTCAAAGGGAATTGCATGCAGGCTGAATTTCATCGTCAGGTATAACTAAGTGTAATGGGGTGAAATAAAGACCAGAAAAGTCAAGAAAACCTTCCCAATTATGAGTGCTATTGATACTATTTTTGATTATTTTTATTAGAGTAAAGCCAAGAGACTTTAAATGGGATCAGGACTAGAACATGGAATATTCTCTCCAGCAAATTGGTGCAAGCCTTGTTGCTTGGGCCATTTAAAAGAATACTGGACAAAATACAGGAGAACGTGGTGAAGAGAACAAACTTGCGGCGACCCAGGTGATGCATACAATGGCCTAACAGGAATTTTGTATTTCACACTTCTATGTTATAGAGCCACACTAGATACATATATTAGCTGGATGATTTTACTAAAATCAGCAGAGAAGCAGTTAACTTTGACATTTAAGCTGCTATCATTAAGCTTCAGAGTTAGCACCCCATTGAGATGAATGGTCAGAGTGGCCACAGCGATCTGAGCTATTGTCTCACTGGCCCTCTATCTGCAGGCTTAGAAAAACTGCACAGCATTGGTTCACATTTAAAAGGTTTATTTCACAACCTTAGAAGGGATAAACTTTTTTTTAAAAAAACAAAAGCTGACATTGTTTAAAAATGGATGGGTCTGAGATGGGAGTACTGGAATGGTATTTTAGTGTCTTCAGGGTTACCTAGAGACCTGTATTTACTACTCAGAGGACGTGTGAGGCACTCCCTCTTCACAGGCATCACTAATGCTCCTGAGTGCCACAGCATAAGAAATGCATCCTGTGCCCTTCCACCCACAATGCAGCACAAGGTGACCTAATCTCCTTGGTATGGGGCCCAGGATCTCAAAGCCAGCTCTGTGCTCAAACTGCCCATTGGGCCAGAATCACAAAAGGATAATAGGTTAATATTTTTCTTTTGTAAGATGTAGAAGAAGAAATGGAGTAACACATCTGTCTTTATTTCACAAATGCAGTCTGCCATGGGATCAAGGTCTTTAGACACAACACAATCCCAAGCCGGGCTGAAGCACAGCCAGATCATTCAGGAGCGGGGCTTCATGACAGAGTTCTGACTTGGAATGCCATTCCAGCTCATGCACAGGCAGCAAAGATTTCCATCTTTGTACTGTCTTCAGACAGCTGCACCCTTTGCAGAATACCTTGTGCATCTAGAATGCTGCCATGGGCCTTTGAAGTCCTGCAGACCCTGTCACAAAGTCAGATGTGCTGCAGTCTAATTAATTTGAAGTTGACATGTTATTTACAGTTACACTGTGTAGGGTTGCTTTCATCTGCTCTGTACAAGTAACTTGTCAGTCACTTACATAAATCCTTTCTTCACAGTTGTAGCCTGATTCTTTCTGCTGGAGCTCGTAAATACAGTACTATAGTGAAAGCAAAGGATACAAAGCAAATTGCAGGGAGTAATAACTTAAAGTGAATCCCACAAAATAAAACAGAAATAATGGGCACTGGAATGTATCTGTGTCATATTGTAGGTATCTGTCTGACTAGATACTTTACGGACCACAGCACTGTAGCATCCAAGCACCTAGAAGAATTGCCTTGATTAATGTATGAATTTCTGAATTTGTAAATGTTTTTTTGTGTGTGTGTCAGAAAGAATGTGAAGAGAGTAGTGAGGGAAAGTGAAGTTGACGAGATGAGTTTGCCATGCAGTGAGACTAGAAGTAATTTTCAGGCTATACATTGGTAACTGAAAAGTTAGTTGTTTTAAAACCTACAAAACAGAATGAAGTAAAACAGCATAGCATCACAAGTATAATTAAGCCACAGACATTATAGCATTTCCTTATGTGACAAACATTTTACGAAGGACTGAAAATATAAAGCTTGTGTTAATTTTAGAGACTTACAATCTATGAGGAGCTCTAAAATTCCAGTTCTGTCACTTCCATGCACAAGAGAAGACAGAGGAAACATTCTTTCAAGAGACTGTTACAATTAGGGTTGGGCTAGAATCGGAAGCTCTAATCCAAAACACTTTGAATTTTGTGGGGAGTGATGGTTGGTGTCATACCCCTGGATTTGAATCTGACCTATGAATTTGGTTCCAGGTCAGGTCCAAAACTAGAAAGAGCTCATTTTCACATTGTGGATTAGGGTCATCAGAAACTGCAGAATAGCTCATGAGAATGGAGTGACGTCTATCCCTGGGTTATCCTTGAACACAAATCCCACTCAAAACCCAATCCCCATCTAAACACCAGCTCCTTAGCCAGTCTCTAGTTACAACTGCCCTCCATGAATCAGTAGTGATTTTGACACTCATCTCTCCTCTCTCTCCCTCCATGATAGACAGAGCAGATAATCTCTGCTACTGTGACCGCTACTGTGACCACTACTAAACCTGGGATTCCCATCTGCCATTCCCAGCTGAAAGACTGCCAAAGAAACGTATGAGCTATGCACACAGGAGAAAATTCTTCCATTATGGCCAAATCCTGATCACATTAGCAAAACTCCCAGTAATTTCAAATGGGCGAGAAATTGGCCCCTAGCCGCTATAGCAGTTTCTCATGTAATTCTTTGTGATTACCAGATTTCAGTTCCTACTGGGACTAGATATCCAGATAATCCACTAGTCATGGCAGGTTTGGACTTGTGGTTAGAGTACCACTAATGTAGTGGTGACATGAAACCATTGCAGTACCACCTTTATCAACCATCCTGGTGTATCTGTTCACACACAAACTAAACTTTATTCCATCGGCAGTTAATCATGACTTATTTTGTCTGGTGCTATGAGACTCAAAAACTACAACTTCATCAATCCAAGTCATCATCCTTATTGACAATATAGAAGGATGGTCATTTTCCTACAGAGTTTCTAATTAAAGACAGAAAATGTCAATACAAACCTATATTCCTTCGGATCACCATACATTCCTTAACTCTTGGGGGCGATTGGCTTTGGCTTGAAATGTCAAAAAATTCAAAGCAATATTTATTTTTCCCCACGTCAAACAAAGTGCAGTTAAATTCTGTTCTGTTGCTCCCTGGGCGTAGGAAGTTTTCATCTAGCCATGTCGTTCTTTCACCAGGACGTCTGAGAACTTCCTTGTACACAGCAACCTTCCCATTGATGGCAATGCATGGAGGGGAGACAATAAACACCAGAATGGACGACTTGCACATCACTTCTGGTGCCACCACTAGTTTGTATCCAAATTTGTGGATGAGGTCTATGGGCCCTGTTGAGGCGATGACTGAGTTGGTCTCTAATGATTTCAGTAACACCGTGACATACACTTCTTGGTCAATAGGTGGGCAGTCAAACTCCACCCACTGGGATCTAGCGAGAAAGATTCCTTTGCTAATTCGCATTCCCAATGCCTCATTAGAGCTTAATCTTCCTAGTTCATACAGGCTGTTGGTGAATATCACGTCCAATGAAACCACTGTCTCATTCATAGCACACAATTGTTTATTAGTGAAAAGTCCAACCTGAAGGGAACTCCTGAGCACCTCAGAGGTCCTGTTCAAGTCAATGTGAAATACAGGCCATTCCACACTTAGGAGGGTGCTCCCACCCCTCCAGTGAATTTCAGTGCCATTATCAATCTCAGAGATCATTCTGAACCAATAGTCCCCAGCAGTCTTGAAAGAGAAACATTCAAACCCTACTATCCCCCGTGACTGGCTTGGTGGAAGCTGTTTTTTTGCAATGGTCTGGTTGGTGCTGGCATCCAGCAGTAGGATGGATACATTCTTTGCTGTCACATTACCACTGACAAAGTACTGAAAATCAACAGACACCGTGTCGTTACTTAAGGCTACATGACCTGGTCGCTCCAAGAGGAGATATTCCACTTCACCAAGAACTGAAAGAAAACAGTTTCACAAAATTGTTAATAAGCAAAAAGAAAAGTGAATAATACCCATTTCATGGATATTATGGACAATCAGCTGCTTTAAGATGTGGTGCCCAACCCTTTCAAAGCAAATGAATCAATTTAGTTGAGTAAGACCTTGGCTATACAAACTGGCGCTTACCTCTTTCCATTCATGCAGAGCTGGGATTTGGAGCAAGTCAAGCTCCATCACAGATTACAGTGTGCACAACGGGAAGAGCAGAGAACATCAGTCACACAAGCCTGAAGTATCAGTGCAGGTGATGTCTAGCAGCTATTGGAAACCACTGCTTTATAATTAATAACCATTTTATTTATAAAGCTTACTTACAGGACAACCTTACAGAAAAGATCCCTTAAAAAGTCATATCTTAGGTATGAAGGGCTTATGTAGTTCCCAACTTTAAAATCTATCAAGCAAAAGTAATTTGAGGTCCTGCTTCTGAATTATCCTTCTTTATCTTTTACTCAAAATCAAAATCTCCCCCAGCTTCACAATGTCCTGCTGCTGTTCCACTTACTTTTACTATAATGAAAACAATAGAATTGGAATTTCTTAAAGCAGAAGTGTAGAAAATACCACTCAAGTTATACAAATTAACAATACTATATGATGCTTTTTGAAGCCACCTTTCATACTGCTCGTTTACAAATCTTTCATAGAATCATAGAAGTGTAGCATTGGAAGGGACCTCAAGAGGTCTTCTAGTCCAGTCCCCTCCACTCAAGGCAGGACTAAGAATTATCTAGACCATCCCTGACAGGTGTTCGTCTAACCTGCTCTTAAAAACCTCCAATGACGGAGATTTCACAACTGCTGTAGGCAATTTATTCCAGTGCTTAACTACCCTGACATTTAGGAAGTTTTTAGTTTTAGGAAATTTATTCCAGCCTAAACCTCCCTTGCTGCATTTTAAGCCTCTCACTTCTTGTCCTATCCTCAGAGGTTAAGAAGAACAATTTTTCTCCCTGCTCCTTGTGAAAAACCTTTCATGTATTTGAAAACTGTTATCATGGCCCCCCTCAATCTTCTCCAGACTAAACAAACCCAGTTTTTTCAATCCTCCCTCATAGGTCATGTTTTCTAGACCTTTAATCATTTGTGTTTCTCTCCTCTGGATTTTCTCTAATTTGTCCACATCTTCCCTGAAATGTGGCACCCAGAACTGGACACAATACTCCAGTTGAGTCCTTATCAGTGGAGAGAAGAGTGGAAGAATTACTTCTTGTGTCTTGCTTTCAACACTCCTGCTACTGCATCCCAGAATAATGTTTGCTTTTTTTTCAACAGTGTTACACTCTTGACTCGTATTTAGCTTGTGATCCACTATAACCCCCAGATCCCTTTCCGTAGTACTCCTTCCTAGGCTGTCATTTTGCATGTGTGCAATTGATTGTTCCTTCCTAAGTGGATACTTTGCATTTGTCCTTATTGAATTTCATCCTATTTGCTTCAGACCATTTCTCCAGTTTGTCCAGATCATTTTGAATTTTATTCCTATCCACCAAAGCTCTTGCAACTCCTCCCAGCTTGGTATTGTCAGCAAACTTTATAAGTATACGCTCTATGCCATTATCTATATCATTGATGAAAATATTGAGCAGAATCAGACCCAGGACTGATTCCTGCAGGATCCCATTCAATATACCCTTCCAGCTTGACTGTGAACCACTGATAACTATGGTTTTCCAACCAGTTATGCACCCACCTTATAGTAGCCCCATCTAGGTTGTATTTCCCTAGTTTGTTTAGGAGAAAGTCAATGTGAGACAGTATCAAAAGCCTTACTAAACTCAAGATATACCATGTCTACCGCTTCCCCCCCATCCACAAGGCTTGTTACTCTGTCAAAGAAAGCTATTAGGTTGGTTTGACATTATTTGTTCTTGACAAATCCATGCTGACTGTTACTTATCACCTTATTATCTTCTAGGTGTTTGCAAATTGATTGCTTGATTATTTGCTCCATTATCTTTCTAGTTACTGAAGTTAAACTGACTGGTCTATAATTCCCCGGGTTCTCCTTATTTCCCTTTTTATAGACTGGCACTATATTTGCCCTTTTCCCGTCCTCTGGAATGTCTCCTGTCTTCCCTGAGTTTTCAAAGATAATCGCTAATGGCTCAGATATTTCCTCAGTCAGCTCCTTGAGTATTCTAGGATGTATTTCATCAGGCCCTGGTGACATTAAGACATCTAACTTGTCTACGTAATTTTTAACTTGTTCTTTCTCTATTTTAGCCTCAGATCCTAACTCATTTTCATTGGCATTCACTATGTTAGACGTCCAATCACCACCAACCTTTTCGGTGAAAACTGAAACAAAAAAGTCTGTTAGCACTTCTGCCATTTCCACATTTTCTGTTATTATTTCCCCACCCCACACACCCCTCATTGAGTAACAGGCCCACCCTGTCCTTGGTCTCCCTCTTGCTTCTAATGTATTTGTAGAATGTTTTCTTGTTACCCTTTATGTCTATAACTAGTTTAATCTCATTTTGTGCCTTGGTCTTTCTAATTCTGTCCCTACATACTTGTGTTATTTGTTTACATTCAGCCTTTCTTATTTGACCTAGTTTCCACTTTTCGTAGGACTCTCTTTTCAGTTTCAAATCATTGAAGATCTCCTGGTTAAGCCAGAGTGGTCTCTTGCCATACTTCCCATCTTTCCTATGCAGTGGTTTGCTCTTGTTCCCTTAAAAAGGTCTCTTTGAAAAATTCATTTTATTTTACTCATTTGCATCACAGAGGTGCTTGAGGAGTGAAAAAGCTGAAAATAAAAGCAATGGTAACTGCAGCATTTTTTCCTGTCTAAGATGTGGTGCAGCATGTCGAAATGATGTCATTTCATTATAAACCGAGTGGTTTTACTTTACATCTAATTGTGGCATGACCATGCTTGTGCAGGTTACCACATTATTCTGAAACATGCTTTGACTAGCAGGGAAAGACAGTATCTAACGCACAGGACCTAGAGAGATCACAGTTCTAATCCCAGTTCTGTTATAATTCTCCTGTGAGACCGCAGGCAATTCACTTAGGAATCTGAGGCACAGAGAAGTTACCTGCAAAATGAGAATGATACTTATCTGCCTCCCAGGGGTGCTGTGCTGTGAGACTTATTTCGCTAATATCTGTAAAATGCTTTGAGATCCTTGGATGGAGGGTGCTATAGAAGTGCAAAGTATTAATTATAAATGAATAATACTTCACACTTTTAAAATCTGCAGTATGTGTTTGTAATTAAGGCTGCAATTTAGTCATGGAGGTTGTGGAAGTCACAAAATCTGTGACTTCCAGTGGGCTCCGTGACTTCAACCTGCAGTGGTTGGGAGCTGCAGGGTCCCCTGCCGCCCACTGGGGCAGGAAGCTGTGGGGTACCTCTGCCGTCTCTGGCAGCCCCTGCAGCTCCCAGCTGCCGCAGGGGCACCCCGCCGCTCCCTGCCACTGGGAGCTCAGGGCTCCCCTGCTGGGCGGCACAGGGGAACCCCCTGAGCTCCATGCTGCCTGGGACAGAGGGGGACCCCCCCAGTTCCTGGTGGGTGGCAGTGGGGGACCCCTAGCTTCCTGCCACCAGGGGTGGCGCTGCTGGAGAACCCCAGATCTCCCTGCTACCAGGGGTGGCAAGGAACCCCCGAGATCCCGGCCGCTGCGGGCAGCCAGGGGTGGCAGGCAGCTCCGGGCTGCTGCGGAGGAACCTAAGCTCCTGGGCCATGCAGGTGGCAGGGAACCCCTGAGTTCCCAACCCCCGCGGCAGGGGTACCCCGCAGCCCCCAGCGGCTACAGGCAGCTGCTAGTTCCAGCAGCTGCCCAGCTTGAAGTAGTGTAGGGATCCTATAACAGGGTTCAGAAAAGAACTAGATAAATTCATGGAGGATAGGTCCATCAGTGGCTATTAGCCAGGATGGGCAGGGATGGTGTCCCTAGCCTCTGTTTGCCAGAAGCTGGGAATGAGCGACAAGGGATGGATCACTTGATGATTACCTGTTCTGTTCATTCCTTCTGGGGCACCTGGCACTGGCCACTGTCAGAAGACAGGATACTGGGCTAGATGCAGGGGTGAAAGTAACTTACAGGACTTACCGGTACTGCCAGAGTCCTGAGGGGGGCATGGCCTCAAGCGGAAGAGGCGAGGGCTCTCAAGATTTAAATGCCCTGGGACACCGGCTGTGGCTGGGAGCCCCAGGGCCTTTAAATCAACCTGGGGCTCCCAGCTGCAGAGATGGCTGGGAGCCCCCGGGGCTCACAGGCAAATTAAAGTGCCCGGGGCTCTGGACGCCGCAGAGCTCCGGGCCCTTTAAATCCCCACCACAGCTCCAGCTGGGATTTAAAGGGCTCGGGGCTCCAGCGGCTGCGGGGAGCCCTGAGCCCTTTAAATCCCGGCCCCAGCCCTGCCGCCGGAACTGCGGGCGGGATTTAAAGGGTTCGGTGCTCCCCGCCGCTGTGGGGAGCCCAGAGCCCTTTTAATCCCGGCCGCGGAAGCCGGTGCGGTCCGGCACGGTGTACTGGCTCTTGCCGGTACGCCGTGCCGGACCGGACTGGCTTACTTTCACCTCTGGCTAGATGGACCTTTGGTCTGACCCAGTATGACTGTTCTTATGTTATGTTCTTATGATCTGCAGATCCCCATTTTGTCAGGGATATTTTTAGTAAAAGTTAGGGACAGGTCATGGCTTCTGTTTTGCTCGTGACCTGTCTGACTTTTACTAAAAATATCCATGACAAAATCTTAGCCTTATTTATAATTACATTAAAAAACAATGTTGGAAGAACACTAAGGTTGCAAAGTCAAGCATTCAAAAGTTAGGAAATGTCTGAAATAAGATTGCCTGTGCAACCTCCCTTCAGCTCCATTGTGCATATGCATTTTGATACAGTCTTGAATTATATGATTATATACTATTTTCTCCACATGACTGTGTTCCACTCTGTGCCCTGGATGGATGGTGCTCACTGAATGGGTAATTAT